TGTTTGTTGAGGCCCCATTTGCTGCATATCTGACTCTAATTGCCGTATTAGTATAGAGAATCCTGATCAACAAAATAAGTCTGGGGTCCATCCCCATAACTTGTAGTTTCCTCCACAAGTGGTTCCTATCTATAGAATCAAAAGCAGCAGTAAGGTCAATAAAGGCGGTATACAGCTTTTTCCCCTGGGTCTTGTATTTATTAATTAAGTGGGAAAGGACAAAACAATTGTCTATGGTAGACCTACCTGATCTAAAACCTGCCTGCTCATTTGCCAGAATTTCCTTATCCAAGCACCAGTCCTCTATTTTATTTAGGAGATGTTTCGTATACATTTTTGAAATTATATTAAGAAGACTGATGGGTCGGTAGTTGGATGGGGCAGCTCTGTCACCTTTCTTAAAAATTGGAAAAACTATAGCTAACCTCCACCCTTCAGGGATTATCCCTACTTTATCGATATAAGTAAACAGTGCTACCAGCACCGGTACCCAAAAGTCAATGTTGGACCTAAAGAGTTCAGGAGGCAACAAGTCCTCTCCAGGGGCCTTCCCGGCCTTTAAGGATTGAATTATATGCTTAACTTCGGTAGGGGTAACTGGTGTCCATTCCGGACATTTCCTTAATTCTTGCTGGAGGATATCCAATTGCAAGACATTTGTTGTATTGTTACCATCAAATAAAGCAAGATAGTGCTTCTCCCATTTTACTGCTGATATATCAGTGTCCATAAATGGGGAACGTTGTTTTAATATACTGGCTATCTTATGCCAAAAGATCATAGGGAATTGGGATTTCGCTGCCATTTCTACCTCTTTCCACATCCTGGTGTTATAGCTACTTTTCTTGTTTTTCAGTAGGGATTTGTATGCTCTCCTGAGTTGAACCATATTTGAATAATCACCATCCTGTCTGGATTGGTTAACTTTCTTAACTGCAGCTCTTAGATTTGACCTCAAATTATGGCAATCATCATCAAACCACTTTCTAGAGATCCCATCTACTTTTCTATCGTTCTGAATCATTAAGTTCTTAAGAGTAGAAGTTAGCTCTGTATAAGTTGGCATTGGGGTGTTGTCTCCGGGCTTAGATTGGGAGATTTCCCTTGCTAGGTGTCTGGCTTCGTCTGAGCCCAAATAAGTGGTGACAGATTTGACATCAGGTCTGTGCCAGTATAACCTTTTATAGTTATAAACCCGGGCGTTTGCTAAGGTGTCAATTTCCTCTCTTGAATGAGGCCTAACTTCTGAAGAGAGTGAAACCAGAGCCGTGATGGGAAAGTGGTCACTTTCCTCTCTAAATATAGCTCTTACTTCTGAAAAATGGTGTACTAAACTAGAGGAAGTGCAGGTATAATCGATAGAGGTTGAGGTTTTGTTGGACGAGAAAGTATAGGGATATATATACCCATCACTCGAGCCACTAAGTACTTGCATATCATTCATAAACAGCAGGGAAATTAACCTCTGGGCATATTTATTGGTCCTCTTGTCCATTGAGGACCAAGTGAACTCATTATAAAAGTAACCAGTTGGTACCAGGCCTCGGTTAGCATAGCTCTTCATTGAGGGACCTAGTCTTGCATTAGTATCTCCAGCTAATATAATTTTTGCTTGGGGAAAGCGTCCCTTTAAGGTAGCTAATACTGAATCTAATTCATCCCACAAATCCCTTCCTAGAAGGTGGAATGAAAATGGAGCAATATATACATTAATTAAGATTAAGTCCATCCCCCTGAACGTACATCTAATAGGCAGAATATATTGGAATTGAGGATCTAAAGAAATTTCTTCACCCTTCCATCCCATATCCCTTTTGACCAACGTGGTTAAGCCCCCAATTGCCCTCCCTCTTAAATTGACTTTGCCTGCCGGTTTATGCCATGAGGCAAAACCCGGTAAGCTGATCTGTGGATCATTAGTAGTCAGCCAGGTTTCTTGAAGGAGGATGAGATGATGTGTTGAAATCAATTTTATAAAATCCATCCGGTTTGCAATGCCTTTCCAGCCCGCTATATTCCAGGACAGGAGAAATTAGAGTAGGAGGGAGGGTAAGAGAGGGAGGAAGAGAGGAGGAGGAGAAAGAAAGAGGAAGTAGGGAGAAGAAGAAGAGGGGGGGGAAGAGAAAGTAAAAAGGAAAGAAAAGACAGAGGTGGTAGGTTTGAGGAGAAAGATTGCTGTACAATAAAAAAGATGAAAGGGAAGAAAGCCAATCCCAAACAAATATAAAGATATTAAGATAAAGAAAGAATTGTTAAACTTTAAAGAATAAAAGAGAACAAATAGCAATAAATAGCAATAATTAGAAACACACATACAAACATACAATGTATTTTCTTTGAACAGAGTATTTGGCCGGTTCACAAATTTAAACAGTTGTAGAAGGTTAGCACCCACCCCTTTCCTAGAAGAATGAAATATTTTGGGAAATATTAAAAAGGCAGAATATTATATTTCCCTGGATGAGAAATGGAGAAGCATATTTTACAAACAAAGTAGCTCCCACCTTCCTGCCCCCCACTCTTTGTTAATGGGCCAGAGGCAGAAAGTCAATCCTTTGTCAAAGGACATTTGCAACACAATAGCAACAGAAACTAACACAATGGGCCCCATCTAGCAACCGAAACTCACCACACGTGACCTGGGAAGCATGTGACCTGGGAAGCACATGTGACCATCAGCCAGCAAGGCTAGCTAAGACCCCCACCCCCTGGGAGTCTGACAACCAATCAGGATACTCTTTCGGGGGCCCAAGAAATGCAAAGCCAGAGAGAGTATAAAAACCCGAGGATTTACTGTATCCGCCCCTTTTCTGTTCAGGAACTCAAGCCATGTGATCCTGTCCACCATTAAACCATCTTTCTTTTTTTTTAAAAAAAAAAATAGTCTTTATTTACATTTTCACTTAAAAACAAACAAAAATTTAACAATATACCATATAAATAACGTACAACACAAAGAACATTACAAATAACACACAGGTGGTAGGTACAGATGGTACCTTCATATCTGAGTATTCAATATAATATTACATTCCAGGGGAGATAGAGCAACTCATCTCTCTTAATATATCAATTAGGTCTAACCGACCTCACTTAATATAGTTTCCTCCTTAACAATCCTTCCACATTTACTTTGGGTTATGATATTCTCTTCTCTAGCCAAATATAAACCATCTTTCCAAGCAGTCTCCATGTTTCCAGTGTCTTTTTCCCCACTTGGAGCAGAACCCAGAAGGATATTTCTTCCAACACAGTGTTTAGTTATTTCAATTAAATTTACAATTTCTATATTTCCTTTTTACCATATTTATTCCTCATCTATTTTTTAAAAAAACCAATATTACCATTCATCCTCATCTCTAATCTTAATCAAATTCAATTTTTCCCTTCTATTCTATATTATATCCCTTCACATTGTCATCTATTTTTATATCCATCCTCACATTGGTTAATTATGTAATTATGTAATACAGTTGTTTAATACAAATTCAACATTTTAATATAAATCAATTAGTTATACAACTATCTTTTTGGTATATTAATCAATATGAACATGAATATTCCAATTATTTCCATGCAATCCAATTTCTTACAAATCAATTAATTATATTTACCAATAATAATAAACCGAATAATTTCCCCCATATATTCCTCCAAACCACAATTTAACCATTTCTGCTTTCAGAAATATACAATTAATAGTATCTCAATTATTACAATTCCCTAGTTAAATAGAGCTTTTTTTCTTTTGTGTTTTAAAATCCTGAACTCTCCTCTTTTTCCCTAAATTTCCCATTGTTTGCACCTACCTTTTTTGGTGAGGAAAAAGAAAAGAATTCTGCCTGCCTAATTTTCCAACCTTGCAGCAACAGCAAAGCAGTTTCAGTTTCGTGTTTCAGCAGGGAAAAGGGAAAAAAAATCTGCTCCAGGACTCTTTACAAGGAAGCAGAAGAGCCCTGAGCAAAACAGCTGAGACAAATCAGCTGAGAGCCGGGAGGCCAATTAGCCTATGCTGAAGCTTTGTGGGCCAATAAAATTACAAAAAAAACACCGAACCGTTTGCTAAATTGCTGGCTCCCCCGCCCCTCACCCATCACTATTTATTGGCAATAAATAGTGGTGCGGAGGGGCGGGGCAAGCCAGCAATTTAACAAAGGGTTCGGCTGCACCACTGGCTATAGGGCGGCCCTTTGAAGCCCCGCGGCAAGAATTTGAAGTTTTTTTTTCCTCTAGCCATCGGAGGCAGCAATAGATTGGGAGTGGGCAGGGTAAGCGAACAGCCGGCGATCCAACAGAGCAGAGAGTGAGGGTGAGTGAAGGTGTGGAAGCTGCTTTCTCCATCCTGCTCTCTTGCGTCCAGAGCCGGTGGGGAACCACGTGGCAGCCCACGTGGATCCCAGGCAGCGGAACTCAGGCTAGGGAAGGGGTGGGCAATTGTGGCTCTTTAACAACCTGTGGCCTTCAACTCCCAGAATTCCTGAGACAGCCAAGCTGTCTCAGGAATTCTGGAAGTTGAAGTCCACAGGTTGTAAAAGAGCCACAATTGCCTACCCCTGGCTAGGGTAGGCTGGCGCCGCGCGGGTGGGAGGCGGGGCGAGGGGCGGGCGAGCCAGCAATTTAACAAAGGGTTCAGTGTACTGCGGGGCCAATAAATTACAAAAAAACACCGAACCGTTTGTTAAAATTGCTGGCTCGCTCGCCCCATTTATTGGGAATAAATAGTAGTGCGGAGGGGCGGGGCAAGGGGCGAGCCAGCAATTTAACAAAGGGTTCGGCCGAACCCCCTAGAACCCCCAGAATCCCACCACTGACTTTGAGGTAGCAAGATGGCTTCGTCTAACACTGTACAAGAAAGATCTCATCTCCTCATATACCAGCTAGAGCATATTTCTATGTTTTTACTAGCATAGTGATCGTATTCCTTAGTGACCATATGCATCCAAGATTATAAACCTTTATTTATCTATTTTATAACTGCCTTCTGAAAGTGATGTACTTACTTGATGAAGTACTTGATTCCATCTGCTGTATACGCCTTTTCCCACCCATAAGGCAGACCTAAGTCAAGGGGGAGGAGACATGAATAAAAACAAAATGGAATGAATCACTCTCAATACCACAAATTTCAGATTCAGACATGTTTATATACACAGCAAACTATTCATTTCAAGGCAAACAATATTTTGCTAAGCGCAAAAAGAAGAAATAATCAGCATGAAAATTTAAAGGCAGATGATAAAAGTCTTTACATCAACACATTCATCCTTACTTCCTACAAGTAATGTGCTCTGAACATCCTGGCTATGATGGGAGCTATCCTTCTACAACATTAGTTTTAAATGTATGGTAGGAACATGTCCTAAGACCCAATTCTGAAAGACCCATCACTTTCAAAGAGGACAAGTTCCCGGTTTCCATGTTTCTAAGAGAGTCTCCCTTGATTTCAGTCCTGTTGCAACTGTTCATTTTTGTCTTCTTACTTTGGGCCCAATGCAGAAGGAAAGAGAAATGGAAACAGAAACTTCTCCACTATGTTTCTGGTCCCAACTGCTTGCTTGCTTCTTCACTCAGAAAATATAGGCAAACAAGCATTGGCAAAAACAAGGAGCCGAAACAGAGAACTCATGGCTGGAAAAGTTCTAGTAGTAAGTTATAGGTGCTTGATTGTGCCAACCCTGTGGCTTAATTTCTTGAGGTTAAAATGTTAGATGTGAAACCCCTGCTGGTGGTTTTATTTATTTATTTATTTATTTATTTATTTATTTATTTATTTATTTATTTATTTATTAGTTCAATTTATATACCGCCCTTCTCCGGAGACTCAGGGCGGCTTACAATGCGTTAAGCAATAGCCTTCATACTTTTGTATATGCCTGCTTAGTAGGGCTTTCGCCCCCACCCAAGCAGTGTTCTTTTTTATACAAAGTCAGCTTATTGCTCCCACAATCCGGGTCCTCATTTTTGATCTATACTGTCTAATTTCCTCCTCTGCTAAATGTGAATTTCCTTCAAAAGTCAGGAAATTGTTCTTCATGCAGATTTCATGGGTTTACATGCTTTGTCTGATGTATACAACCGAGACCTTGACTTCTTGTGAGCTTGCTATTCATTTTGTAAAGTACAAACTAGACAAGTGGCAATCTATATAATACTTGTTGATAGAAAATAAAGTTTTTCCACTTGGTTAAGCTTTTAGTTAAGCTTTTCAGAGCCCCTTTCTGCTACAAGCTTTGGTAGGCAGATTGTTTCTGAAGCATATAAAGTTGAAGAGTTGCAAGTGCATAAACTAATTTATAGATCTCTGGCCTAATGCCAATTTGAAAAGAAATCCCACCAAAATCTATTTCAGCCTTGATTGCATTTCTGTCCGGAGAAAGAGTTTGATTTCACTGGACATTTGCCATAAACAGCCTACTAATTCAAGTGTTTTCCAGGAAATTTCCTCAGCGAAAATGTGTTGCAAATAGCAACTTACCAACATACCCAGCAAGTAGTGATGATTCTAAAATCCATGGGATGAAATAATCATGCAAGTGTGTAATTCACAAGCTGTTGCACAATTATGTCAAATAATTAAAACCTTATTTTTCCTTAAAACCTTCTTTTTCCAGCAAGTCGGGCTGGCCTAACACTTTTTTATATGTTTTTAATTGTTTGTTATTGTTTTTAATCATGGGGCCAAATTTATATATATCTTTTTAATTGTATTTTAATGTTTGTAGTTTATGCTTTTACTTGGCTGTTCACCGCCCTGAGTCCTCAGGGAGAAGGGCGGTATATAAATTTAAAAATAAACAAATAAACAAATAAACAAATAAACAAATAAACAAACAAACAAACAAACAAACAAATAAATAAATAAATGTCATTGTCATCATTTGCCCATCTAGCCTCCTGTAAAAATGCCCATGTGCTTAAATAAAATGTAGGCGTATCCTAGCCTATAAATTTTTACACCTTGTCTCTAAGCAATGTAGTCACTGACATGATTAATAGCAAGGAAGGAAGCAAGCAAGCAAGCAAGGTTTTGGTTCACAGTGTGAAAGTTACAAGGCAAGCACTAGAGCTAGACGAGGATGGTTGAAACCATCAAGCTCTGTCTCTATGAAGTGTTGTCATTAGATATTTCAATGCCAGTGGCAGTTTTTATAGAAAAGTATTCGGAACTGGAAGTCAGAGTCAAACAAGTCATCAGTTTGGAGTCATTGCATTGCCACAAGAGACCCAAGTCTAACCCCCTGTGAAATCTGTTGACCCATAACTAGAGCCAATTTAGCTTTGACGGTTAGTTGACTAGAGTCTTGCACTGAGGTAGCAATAATAAACTCTTTTGTCTTTGAACGCAATGAATGTTTCTGGTTATTTGCACCTGACAGTTCTGCAGAAGGCCATTCCCTACAAAACATTCTTTGCGAGGATATTTCATAGAGTCCGGCAAATTAAGAAGAGTTGCTATCCTCTTGCCTCAGTAATATTCAATGCCTAAGATTACAATCCTTTATATACTTACTTAGAAGTGAAGTATTTTGCTCACATTGGTCAAAATTGAGTAAACACATTGATGAAGATGATGCCATTAACTTATTGGTTAATTCCTAGTCAATTTTTTTCCCTTGCATTTTCAGCAATGACCCCATTAGGACTGATACCAAAGCCCTTAAACTTTGGTCTTTCTGAACTTCATTTTAGTTGGATTTTACTCTTGATTGTTCAAAGTTTTCAGAGAACACATACTGATGAGAAGTCAAATATATTAAATAAACTGGATGAAAGAATAAAAGCAAATAAACTTAGGCTATAAATTAATGATTGAAATATGAAGATCACTTGCTAATTGGATTGTTACTTTTTCACCACATTAGGAGTTTATTTCACCCATGGATATTTTTCAATGTTTGCTAAGAGAAAGCAGCCACATTCCTCTGGGTGACCTTAAAAAAAAACAAGAATAGTTTCTGAAATACATCTTTCCTCTTTCTGATGATTTGTCCTTGCAGTTGTGCAGCATGTGCATATTTGGAAGAAAGGTGTTCTGAGACTTATACAGTATTTTCAAATTGTACAATGCAATGAAGAGGCCTCAAACAACTAGAGTAAATGCCCCTCAATTCTCTACAAGGGAAAGGGAATTTTGAGACAGCTGGTTTGGGCAGATGCTCAGTTATATTAGTGTGAAAGTGTTCCCTGTAGGTTAAAAAAATCAGAAAGACACAGACGTAAAAGACTTGCAGACACCCAGAAGTGAGTGATATGGAAGTTACATTTTATATAGAGCCAAATTATTTATTAAATAATTTTAGATAGCCAATCAAATCATACACAGTGATTCTGGGCAGCATACAACATTCAAGATCAACAATATAAAAAATCCAGAAACTTTAACCCTGTGGCAGCAATCTGAATCAACTTGGTGTCCTCAGGCCTTCTGAAAAACCATGTCTTCAGGGCCTTCTGGCAAAGTAGCAAGGAGGGAGACAACCTTATTTCCAGGGGGCTGATGCAGTGGTGGGTTGCTACCTGTTCTCCCTGGTTTGGGCGAGGCGGTAGTGGCGATGGTGAGGTGAGAGCGAACCGGTTTGCTCCAACTGTCAGCTGGGGCCCCCCCCCCCCCCCCGTGCTATACCTACCTATATTTGTTTGTTTTTAGCCCAGCTGATAGGTGTGGCAGAGCGGACTGCCATGCCTCAGCTGTTCTGAAATGGAATGCACTTGCGTGGAGTGCAAATCGCGCACAAATCACGTGCACGAAGCGAACTGATGGTAACACCGGTTGAAATCCATCACTGGGCTGATGTTCCAAAGGGAGACAGCCACCACATAGGTCTTTTTTCTAGGTATCATCAGATGTACTTAGTAGATGGGACCCATAACATGTCCTGTCTTCCTGCTCTGGTAGGCCCCAATACAGGTAGTCCTTGACTTATGACCACACTTGAGCCCAAACTTTCTGTTGCTAAGTGAGACAGTTGTTGAGTTTTGCCCCACTTTACAACTTTTTTTTTGCTACAGTTAAGTGAATCACTGCAGTTGTTACATTAGTAACATGATTAAGTGAATCTAGCTTCCTCGTTGACTTTGTTTGTTGTAAGAGGTTACAAAAAGTGATCACATGACCCCAGGACACTGCAACTGTCATGAATATGAGTCAGTTGCCCAATGTCTGAATTTTAATCATGTGACCATGGGGATGCTGCAACAGTCATAAGTGTGAAAAACGGTCGTAAGTCACTTTTCTCAGTGCACTAAATGAACTGTTGTAAGTCGAGGACTACCTGTACTCTAATCAATCTTTAATATCAATTTAAAAGAATTAGCCTAAAAAAAGTGCAGCCATTCTTCACAGCTGGGAGACATGTAACACTACTACTAAGACCCACACAATGATTAGAGGTAGTCTTAGGTTCCTATTACTGTTGGCCTCCATTTCTGGAACAAGAGTTAGTATAAATATTTTTATTGGCATTAGGGTGAAATTACAATTATTTTAAGTATGCCTTGAGATTTATTCCAACAATTAGCATGATATTATTAGATGAGTTTTTATGATTTGTGGCAATTGCACATTTATTTTCTGATTGAGAATTTATTAGTTATTGTGACACCGTGAAGCTAGGCTTAGGATCAAGATACCAAGTGGTGTATGCTATAATTAAGTTTGAGGGATAGCATAAGTGTGTTTTTCTGGTTAGTAGTTGTATATTACAGTTATTTTTGTGCTGGTATAGTGGTTAAGGTAAATATTTGATATTGGCATATGGGTGAGATTTGGATTAGGTTTTTTGGGGATTAATGGTCAAATTTATTTAAGACTTCACATTAGGGTGATTTTATGGTTAGCAATAAACTTGGATAATTTTTTTAACCTCCTCAAACATCTTTTTTCTCTTGGTTAGGACCCAGTCTAGGAGAACAGATCCCCATGTCTCTTCCTCATCCTTTTGGAAAATGAAACAGCAGGATCACTGAGGAATTTTAGGGAACTTCCATTCTTGGTCAGGTTACTTCCCATCATTAATATGTTTCTTCTCCCTGAAATTTGGCTACCTGGTTCAAGAAGA